ACCGATATTAAACATCTCTATTAACGCGTTAAGCCCAAGGCAAACTAAACAGGCAAATGGACTCCACTTATAGTAGCAAATTGACTCCACTTATATTCAATCGAATGCCCTCCCCAAGGTCAGCTTTCAATAATGCTCATCATACTACTGTAAGCCTATCTACTCCATAGTCGAATGTGGCTACCACCATATATTCTACAGGTAGTACAGGTAGTAATGACTCCTGCTAGGCTTCACACTAGGGCGGCACACATGTGAGCTTACTGTACTTCCACAGCACGGTCCTACACTATGTAGGTGTCCCCAGTTTGAATTGGTTGCCACGAATCTTGTACTATAACAGTCAAATACCACTGTAGTGCAAGGTGCATCGTTAGTGTGTTGGTTTGATTCCAAGTTGCAGACGACATAGTCCGCGTTTCGAGCCTAGCTTCGACCATTTCTTTTTGCCATAATTTATGCTCCGGTTGTTTTTGTGACCCTCCTAATTTTGATTTGTTTGTACTAGTATAAAACTGTTTTATACCTATAAAATTGAATTCGAAAGGTATTGGCCACTCTGTTTGGGTATTTACAATTGACCTATGATCTGGTTAGGCCCAGTTCGAAGTAAAACTATATATATTGATGAAAAGGAGTGCGAAGTACTCGTCGTCTCCGGGCCGTCCTCGGAGGTAAATTTAAACTCCAATCTTATTGGTCAGAAGAAAAAGGCAAAAATGTTTTGTCACCGGATGATAGACCAGGAATGAGACCCATGATTGGACGTAGATTCGCCAATGGCGACATTCGTCGTGATAAACCACCACTTTTGAAGATGACTCGCCCGACCAAGACGCTCAAGGCAAAGACACCCACGAAAAAAGACCTTCAGGAACAAGTCCGGCTCCTCCAAGAAGCCATGCATGGAACTGTCGGCGTCGAAGCCGCCGCGTGTGCAGATCAGGTGGTTCAAGTCACGTTGCCACCGACCTTTTACAGGGATGATATGGTGGTTACTTTGCTCGAGCTCCGGTACGGCCGCTTCAAGGAGACTTTCAGCAAGTGCAACTCAAATCAAAAGGAGTGCAGTTTGTGGGAACGTCTGCGCCTGCAGTTCAACATTATTGTTGGAGGAGATAACGCTGTCACAACAACGTCGTTAAAGAACAAGGAGTACGACATCCGTGCCAAGTACAAGGCTATTCGCATCAAGGAAGCTGCGACGGGGAACGACTCCGACATCCCTATCGACTATCCCGTTTACTGGGATGACATGGTTGCAGCGTTTGGGGACATGCGAGGATTAGGCGACGTCGAGTTTGGAGATGATGTTCCATTCCCAACAGAAAACAGTGGTCAAGCAAACAAGCGCAAGGCGGTGGATGACTTGGAGAGCCAGCGACAACAACGATCCAAATCCAAGGTTGACATTGGTGCCGGTCTGGTGTCCTTGGGCGATGCGTTGGCTAAATGACTAGTCGATGCTGCTGCATTTCGTTCGGTTCCGGACTCGAGCATTGCTACAGTGGCGACATTATTGGCGGAAACGAAGGAAATATTAGTTTCAACAGGTGTGATGAACGAAAGGACTATTGCGGCCTTAGAGCGTGGAAATGAAATTCAAGCGAAGTTGCTAATGTTTTTGAATCCAAACAATAATATTCAATTGAAATGTTTTTGGTTTATTTCGCAGTTACATTTTCAAAAAGATATGTTTTGATTTGGTCACGGACATGTTGAGCTGCAACACCATCAACTAGATTTCTTTCGCTTTCGTAGACTACGTCGCCACCAATATGCATCCACTCTTCATAGTCTTCTACTCTAGGGATACCTGCTTCAATTGATTTTTCGTCGATAAACCAATTGTGTAGTACCAGCGTTGATTTGATGAGCAAGACCATTTCGGCAGGCGACCCATGCAACAAATTGACTTGAAAAATACGAAAAGTATTTTTCCACAGCCCAAATGCACACTCCACCGCCATTCGCGTTCGGCTGTGTAGGAGATTGTAGTGGGCTTCGTCAGCATTCATTCCAAATCGAAGTGCAAACGACGTCAGGATATGACTGTATAACTTGTACCCGCCGTCGGCCACAAAACAACCACCCCGGGGAACGTTTTGATGGCAGGATTTGCCGAACTGTGACTCGCGGAACAAGGCTTTGTCGTTTTGACTCCCAGAATGAATCGAGTACGACATAAACCGCATCTTGTCGTCGACCACGGCCTGCATGTTGAAGGCAGGGAAACCCTTGCGACAATACCACCCATTATAGTCCGTGAACCGTTTGATTGCTATCAAGGTTCCATCGATAGCACCGTAGGCGTTTGGCACGCCAGCGACGTCTTCAAACCCACCACGAATTGTCTCCCACGCAGCTTGAGATGTGGGCATGCCAACAGCATCGGCTAAGTAGCACTGGCATAGAACCTGGCAAACTTGCAACGTGTACGTTCTCACCATCGTCTTGCTGATCCTAAAGACTAACGCTGTCGCATCGTATCCATCGGCATGCGTCAAGTAGTGCATCGCGCAGGCTACGCGATCGTCAACCAAGATGGCTGTGTTGTGGTACAGTCGTCCGTGAACTTGGGTCCACTTGGCATCGACTTTGCGTGCAATCGTCGTGAACACTGAGCGCCGACATCGCAGGTAGCGACGAAACCATTGGTCGTAACCTGGGTTGGTTTTAACAGTCTCCCATGAGGAGTTAGGTACAACGATCTTGTGCACCTTCGGGCCAGGGTTGTTTCGTCCGTCGTGCGAGACTACAGCTTGCACAGCGGCAACCACAGCAGCACAAATGGCTGCGTTTGAGTCCATCGCACAATTACATCGAACGAATTGTCTGTCTGTTTGTGGTCCGGAGACTCCCAGGAGGTATTTTATGTCCTGGATAATATTAATTTTATCCCGGACACTCTGTGTGATTTGATTGGAGGAGTCTCCGGAAGTTTGGTACTTCGTACTGGGCCTTAATGGCATCAAACATACATTTTTACCTTGATTTGGGACGATAAACATCGTCTAACCAGCATTATTCGGACACGATAAACATCGTCGAATTTGGCCGAACGTCCTGCCATGTACTCGTATAGCCCCGCCTTGCTTCCAAGCAGAAGAAGCAGCGATAGCAGGTGCAAAGGACATTCCTTTGGTGCGATGCGAGCGTCGAACGAATGTTCGAGCTTTGTTACAAATCAGACCTTGTTGCTCGTTTTGACTCAAAACATTGTAATTGTCTGCAGCACGGTTAAGCATCGCAGCAACGGAAACGCAAACGGAGGATATCGCACACGCAGCATCGACAACGGCGACTGGGTTGCCTTCCATGTTGCAGGGCCAGACACGAACGATTTTGCTCACCGACCACAATCACGAGCTTTATCCGAATATAGTTTATCCGTACAAACATTTAGGGACTCGGACATTTTAGCAAATCCTTGATTGATGTAACGTATCTGGATAAATGTACTATATTTTGGGCATTCGTCGTCATGGCGTGGGTTGTGCTGGTGACGGGAGGGTCCCGCGGGTTTGGCCGTGCACTGGCCTTGGCCTTCGCAGCGAACAAAGCCTCCGCCGACGATGGAGATCTGCACTTGGTAGAGAAGTTCTTCATGGAGATAGTCCATCCAGCTCCATCTGTCGTTCTCATCGAATCTGTAGTACCTGTGGTCCCGCGACGCGGCTGGTATGGCAGCCACGGCGGCCGACGTCACTGCTGCTTGGCAACGCCAGGTATGAGTTCGAGCTAGGGTACTTGATCAAGCTCATATGATTCACCTGTACTGTACGCAGACCAGCCATAGCATCCATGTGACGCAGACCGTCGTGGACTTGAGTGACGACTCGACGTACGGACCTGCCATCGACACGTTCCTTGAGGAAGCACAAGTAGTCGCGTCCGTCGACCGTGTTGTGGTGGTCCACAACGCTGGATCCTTGGGCCAAGTGGGACGCATTGCCGAAGTGGCATCTCCCCAAGTGATTCGACGGCACATGGAACTGAACGTGAATTCCGTACTATGGATCAACAAACGGCAAGATCAAATGTCCATACTTCGACTAACCATAGTGAATATATCTAGACTCTTGCAAATGTATGGCACCCAAGCTCAGGCGGCTAGAGGTATGTACAGTTCCCATTTCAGTTATAAATTGATATAGAGTGCTGTAGTGCCATCACCAGTGCTCTACTTGATCAACGTTAGTTCGTTAAACGCTATTGAACCCTTCGCCACCTGTGGACTCTACTGTGTTTTCAAAGGTACGGATGATTGGTTGACATGGCTTGTCCTTGATTGATACTGTAATACATATGAAAACTCGTTCAAAATTTAATATATATATATATATAAATTATATATATATTCTCTATTTAATATATACATATACATATATAATATATATTAAATATATTAAATATATATAATGTATTATAAATATATTCTCTATTATGTATATTATATCTATGTTTATTTATTATTTTCTCTGCATTGAGTACATGCACCTCCGGTCTTGTAGCGGCTCGCGACATGCATTTCCGAGTGGTGGCCACGGAAGAAGACACGACGCGTGTGAAATGCCTCAATTTCGCGCCAGGACCCATGCAAACGGAAATGGGAAACGAGGTGGGCGATTATACTATATATAAATAAATATATATATATACGCATATAATTACTATATTATACTATATATATACGCATGTAATTACTATATTCATGGATGCAATGTAGATCCGAGATGGACCTGCGACGGACCCGGCCCTCCAGCGCATGTTTAAAAAACTCCAAGCCGATGTAAGCTCATTCAATTAGATATCAGTCCTGCATCGACAAATTAGTGTATATTTCCGTTGGTATATACTGAATGAAATATGATTATATGTCTCATTTATATTATAACGTTAAGACCAATGCACTTGTTATTGTAGGGCACATACGTCGATGTGAATGTGTCGGCGCAGCTGTGTGTGTCGCATGTATTTGGGCCGACGCTGGTTTCCGGCACCCATGTGGATTATTACGACATCTACCAAGGCTAAGTAAGACATCTCTGCAGCATACTACTAGACAAATAAGTCTATATGCAGTCATATAACATCGGCTCCTTTCCAATCTTGTAGTCTTGAGCTCACGATAAAATAGTAAGCACATGACGAGCTCGAATCCTACTACGCATGTTTTATCCTGTTGCTACACCGTGTCGAACTGTTGAACGATAACACGGAGCCTCCGAGTGGTTTCGATTGGAACATCATTGTCAGTTCTGGGATCATAAGAATTTGCTACAAGTGCAACAATATATCGAGACCTTTCTTGTTTGGTTGATATTGTGCATTTCATCCAAATTTGGACTTGTGAGTCATTTCGTCAAATAGCATTCGAATCCATTTGATCCGATTTAAGCTTGTACAAACTATACTATACAACGATTAGTATATATATGGTTTTGACCATGGCGGAGAGACTGGCCCGAGTCAAACGTTTGGATTGGTAGAAATTGACCAGCACGTGATTTGATTGGCTTAGGAGGTTCTTTAATCCATTCTCTTAAGACATTCGATTCTGCTGAGGGGCTGGTCTGCGAACATTCATTTTCAAGCATGGACGAAAATACGACTCCTGATTGGCTAAAACGTGAATTTTTCCGGATAACACACAACTTCAAAAGCAGGGTGTTGCATGTTTTATATAGAAATTAAGAAATGTTTTCGATATATTTTCAAAATCCTCGAAAATAGTTCGGATAACATCCCTGCCTTAAACCGTCCAAGCTTTTGAGGCTCCAGTTTCGAATCGATTTGACAATATTCTCAACCTAAACTACAGCGCCATTCATGAAGAATTCAGCGACGATTCAATAGATTCTCTGTAAAGTAGTCCACCGCAATAGGGAACCTTTGTTGTCGATATGGTTTTAGAGGTTTTCAATTTACACAAGTATAAAGTTAAAAAGGCATGTTTGATGGGTAGCTCGATTCTGATTGGACAAGAGTTAGCATATGGTATTGGAAAGTGCTTGGATTCACTGTCAAAAATGGACATCATATTCGGAGGGGGTTGATACCCTGGCAACCTCCAGAAGACAAAACGCACACCAACAACAATGCGCACATTATATTCCTCAAAGGTTGTTCATACTCTCGATTAAATCATACATCTCTTCGTCCAGTATACCCGTATGGCGCCAGCAGTTAGAGTTACTTACTGTTTGTGTCTGGTAGGCGAGGTTTGTGTGCTGATTTATGTGACGGATGCACGTCCATGTGGTCACTCTGGGTGTTGAGCCAACGAGACATAGTCGCATAGTCGACTTTTGGGGCACACGTGGCAGCCCAAACGCATGCTGAGCCCAAATTCGCACTTCAAGTCCTCTCATGCCAGATGGACTTGTGGTGCGTCAATAGTGAGCGCTTTTGCCCGACAGTGAGTCTCATCCGTGTCGAGGTTGACGGCATTTTGACAACCAAGTGCATTTTCGCAACATGTGTCGTTTGAAATTTCAATCAGCCTCTTTAAATTTATTTTGCACCATCTTGTGAACGAATGTATTTTGCGAGGATATTGATTTATTGTGGGTTCCCTATTGCGGGGGACTACTGTATTCATTTACGTAGTACTACGTAGTAATCATTTACGTAGTACTACGTAGTAATAAAAATAGAATAAAATATTATTATTATTAAATCAGCGACGATTCACTGTCAATTGATTTCTGTATACAATAATGGACCGATCGGGCAACTTTGTCACCCCAACGGCTGTGTTGGTTGACAATATTATTCTCTCCACACGCACAAGTTCGTCAAGAGATCCAAGGGAAGTCTCGTTGATTTTACTGGTACTGTAGGTGGACAGATGTGCCCATCGCATGCCTTTCCGAGTTTCAAACCCTGGAGCAAGTTCTGGACGAACGACTTGTCTTGTTTACGCAATCCCCGATGAAGGCTACACCGGAGCCACCGTCGTGGGCGTCAACTGCGAGTTCCTGAGAGGCGGCGACTAGAAAGACTTCGAGCGGTGGACGACTTGCACGGTGAACATGGCCCCCCACAACCAAGAGCAGTAGCAGAAGCAGTCGACCCCCATCGCAACGCTACATATCGTTTAGTTCCATTGCGCATTTGACAACAGTTTTACGGTTATGGCCCAACTAACAATACAATGGGTACAGGTCGTCAAGGTGGCTATTCGGAAAACGAGTCCTGGCGCCACTCCTTTCTTCAAGCCCGTCGATTCGAACGACATAACACAGTTGTTTAACTTGTCAATATCGTGCGATATCCATCGGTGATTCCAGCGGTGATACCCTTTCATCCTCGGCGTCGACTCCAACGACACTGTGAGCCATATTGGAAACAACTGCGAAATGATCAAATCCTTATCTTCACTAATTACAAGGGATGGCACGTTTGGTTTTGCGTTTTGGTTTTTCACTTGTTTTTTTGGAAAAACCATTATTTTTCATAAAGGTTTTCAAATTATGGTTAAATTATTCTGAACTCAAGTACGGTAAAGACTACAAAAAAATGCCTTGTTTGTAGCAGTTCGCAATCGTTCGTCTATCGTCCTCACGCTCGACACATGCCATACATTAGATTGTTGATTACTACTACTACAGTAAGTACTACAATCAACAATTCGACGAGAGCCTAGTTGGCGCACCACATGGTGCCGTACAGTACATGGCGCTGTAGTACTCGCAGTCGGCCTTGTTAAAGGTTGACAAGCACGAAATACCGCCGGGGTAGTAGCACGCGTTGCAGTTGTCGCAGCCGGACTTGGGCTAGTTGGGATGATTGGGCTGGTTGGGTTGGTTCGGGTGGTTGGGGCGGTTGGGCTGATTTTGTTGGTTGGGCTGATAGGGGTGGTTGGGTTGGTTGGGGCGGTTGGGTTGTTTGGGGTGATTGGGGCGGTTGGGGCGGTTGGGTTGGTTGGACTGATTGGGGTGGCTGGGCTGATTGGGCTGGTTGGGTTGGTTGGGCTGATTGGGGTGGTTGGGCTGATTGGGGTGGCTGGGCTGATTGGGGTGGTTGGGCTGATTGGGACGGTTGGGGTGGTTGGGGTGGTTGGGCTGATTGGGCTGGTTGGGGTG